CAAAATAATTTGTAAATATCTGATATATATACAATAAAGACAAGCCATGCTGACCTGACTGAGGGTTAAAAAAAAAAATAATAATAATAATAATAATACATAATTAATTAATTAATTAAATTATAATAATATAAATAACATATAGACCTGTGGATCAATAGTGCAGTGAGTACACTTTCAGATTACCAATAGCGAAATACTGGTTCAATCCCACTTTATAACAGTTTTTCACAATATAGGTTATACTTGTACAAGGTATATGTTATACAGTTACATATATATTTATATATAATCAACCTATAGAAACCCAATGTCTGATCATAGTATAATAAATCAGATCATACAAGTCCTAGTTAGTTTTAGCATCAAGAAAAAGAAGATCCTTACCATCCAGAATATGTAAAGACATAAAGCAAGCCAAAAAAGATTTAGATTAGTCTGAGTCTATCAATGAATATGTGCGAAACTCATATTTTCTCAAAAAACATCTTCTGGAAGAGATGGAAGACTTAGATTACTAATACCAATCAAAAAGATAACTAGTATGGGTCAGAATGCACTATAGAAGATCTTTGGATTGCTAAACCAATGGTTACCAGAGAGATAGCTGGATACCCAGACTGGTAATTAGTGTTAGTGTTACGATGGGAACTGTAAGAATTGACTAGAAATTTGGGAGAAGTAATTCAAAAAGGTAACAACTAAGGAAAATTCCTGTAAGCCATATTTAAAGAGTGATTAAGAATGACATAATAGAAGACTATATATCAATTGCTGGAATATACCATTGAATTGTCAGAATTTCAATACATTCCACTGGCCTCATATGATCAGAAGACAACTAAGCCTCCTCAAGACTTAATATGATAAAGATTCATCACAATACACACATCAAAAAATATATATTACATCACCACACAAAGGAATATACATTCTGAAGCTCTCTATTTAATTCTCAATAGAGTTCCTTAACAGATCCTTGAAAACATTAGATACCTGGGTAGAGCAAGGTAACGGACAAAATAGTACCAAATATGGTAAAATTGACAAGAATTGAATATATAAAGTTAAATTTGATATGGTTAAACAGGTTAGGTGAATAGCTCATGTAATCAAAAAGCCTACTACTACTCAATAAAAAGATTTACGTCCATTAGTTAGGACAGTTAAAAAAATAAATAAAATAAATAACATATTATATATTATATTATAATTTGTATTATTCCTAATTTATAAATATAACCTTAATTCAAAAAAATCCGTGTATAAGTTTATCAATTTTTTTACTTTATTGCTAATGAATAATTGTCAAATTTTTAATGAATAGTTAATGAATCTTTAATGAATAGTTGTTGGTTTTTTAATAAATAGCTAATAAATTTTTAATGAATAGTTTTGATAAATAGTTACAGAATTTTTAATAAATAGTTGACAAATTTTTGATAAACTATTAATAAATTAATATTGAATTTTTATTGAATTGTTAATAAATAATTTTGTGATGAACTTTTAATGAATTATAATAAATTATTGTCAAATTATTAATGAATTATTTAACAAATTGTTAATGAATTTTTTGACAAATTGTTAATATGTTGATTTTTATAGTTGTTAATTTATTTATATAATTTTTTTGCCAAATTGTTTATTTTTTTTCAAATGTTACATGAGTGGTAGTATACCAAATAATTTTTTTACCAAATTATTTATTTTTTGCCAAATATTATATAAGTGACAGTATGTCGAATAATTTTTTTTCGACTAGTGTATTTTATCAATATAAACTTATTTATATTTTGTTTTAATATATTTTATATTAATTAATTATCTTTTATAAAATTATATATTTTTGTACTATTTCAAAATTTAAGATAAAATTAAAATAAACAAAATCTTTTAAAAAGTTTAAAAAATAGATAATTATAAAAAAGTAAAAATAAATAAAAAAGTTTTTAAGGTTTAATTTTTTATTTATTTATTTTTTTACTATATAGTATAAAACTTATATAAATACTTTTGTTTCAAGAGATAAATTTTTAGTACTATTCTATTAATTATTTTTTTAAAAAAGCTTTCTTGTCATAGATGAAAAAATTATTTTTTAATTTTTTTTTAATTACAAAAAATCAAGTTTTTATTTGCAAAAAAATACAAATAAAAAGAAAAAATAGAAAAGATTTTTAAAGTTATCTCTCATGTTGTTTTTAAGAAAGTAATAAGACTTTATTAGTATAGAAATATAAAACTTTTTATAAATATCTTTTTTGTATATAATAAAAAAGAATTAGTAAAAAAAATATTGCAAAAAATTTTTTTAATATTATTATACTATTCAATTATAATTAATAAAAATTTGTTATATTTTAATAGTTATTATATTTTATATCAACTAATTAATTATTTTTATTAAGAATTATATTATTAAAAAATTCAAATTTAAATTGAAATAAGTAGAATTTTTTAAAAATCATAAAAGTAAAAATTCCAAGAGAATATAAATAGTTGATAAAAAAAATAATTCTTTTTTATTATTATAAGATTTTTATTATCACTCATTTCAAAGATAAAAAATTTTTAAGTATTTATAGCTAAAAATGGGTCCTTAAAGAGGAAGGCAGGGACAAAAGTCAAATGTCATTCACTAGGAAAGATTAAAAATTTTAAATTAATAACTATTTAAAAACTATCTACAATTGTTAAATATTGATTTATAGCATTTTCTGATTTTTGTTCCTATTAAAGTAAAGAGCTATGAATTTTGTTCCTCAAAAAGGGACATAAGTGATCTGCAAAATTTTATATGCCAAATATTTTAAGGACCCATTATTACTTATAGTCAAATTCTTTTATTGAAAATTTTCATATTGTGAATAATAAAAATGTTACTTGATTCATTTTAATTATCAAAAATCATTTTTTTTAATTAACAAAATTGTAAATAAAAAAATTGAAATAATTTTTTGATAATATTTTTATATTTGTATGCAATCAGAAAATTAATAAAAAAAAACTTTTTTAGATATAATATAAACTAAAAATATACATACTCTATATATAATATATATTGTTTATCTTAATAATTTGTATTTTGAATTTAATTGATAAAAAGAATTTGAATTTAAACAAAATAAATTTAATGAATACAATATAATTTATTGTAATGAATTATATAATATATGAATCTGTGGTAGTGACCTGCAGGTAATGATATTGGAAGTTGGAAGGGTTTTTACTTGAATTCTTAATGGAGTGACAAATCACTTTCAAAATTGCACTTAGAGTATTAATTACAAAGATGAGTAAGCTAGTTAGAGTTTTAGCTTTAGCGATTCATATTATAATGTCAGTTTACAATTGTTTAATAAAGCACACATAACTAGCCTGACAAAGGATTTTTTTAAAAAAAAAATCATATAATATATGAATCAATATAAAATTTACATGAAAAAAAATTCTTTCCAACAAACAAAATATTTATAATACTATTATTGAACGTGAAAGATATATCTTGATTTGTATAATAATGATATCATGTTGTGTGTTGATCAATTCTAAACATAAAAAATAATAAACTCGATTTAAGACCTTTGATTTTTTTCTTTCTTTTTTTTTCTTTCAAGTAATTTTAAATTTTAAAGATATTCCTTCTTGAACATAATTTCATGAAACATGGAATCCACTGGATGGGAATATGAGGTAAAGTCAAGTTTCAAAGATTGGTTGATGTCACGTAAAAAAGTTTTCATCATGTTTTTGATCATAAATTCTTTGATTCGTGCTTGATCTACAACATTGATGTTGATCCACATTTGTTAGGTGGAGAAAATACTTGGAAAGAAGGAACATGATGTGAGTTAATCATAAGATGACATAAATGAATATAAATATTTAGTTATTCATCTGTTTATTTTAATCTGACAACGTTTGAAGATTTTCTGTGATGTTTGTCCTAATAAAGATAGACCAGATGTGCCATCAACCTTTCAATTTAACAGGGACTCACACGTTTCCCTACTCAAATTGGTTGATCTAACTGGCATTTGAACTTTTTCTTTTACTTCTTGCTCAACTATGCAGGGGGTTCTTTATTACCTATTGAAATGGAAAGGTCATGACATCAACGACAACACATGGTAAGAGTTTTTTTTTTTTTTGGTATGATCAAGATAATGAAATTGAAAGTCACCACGTGTTTTATGTTCTGCAGGGAACCTCATTATAATCTCAACTGTCCTGATTTGTTAGAAGAATATGAGTACGAACAGTGGATTGTTGCGGACATGGAAGGTGAAGAAGAAATTGGCTGCGAATCGCATAATCACAGTCATCTGCTGCACGTAAAAGATCCTAATTTCTAATGTATAATGATGTCTTGATGTTCGTCGAACTTTTGACTTACATTGATCGTGCTCTTAGAAATCCGCTCGCGGTGGCAAAGGAGATGTGAAGCCATGGAACGTCGTAGAGTTTGAAAATTTCCTTAAACAATTTGTCAAAGATGGCCCACCAATCCCTGTTATCAATACAGTTGATCAGGCCGGAATTCCTCACGATTTTCAATACGTCGATTATTACGTCTACGGAGCAAATGTTCCGCGCCCGAAAGTCTACGATGACGCGTTAATAGGATGCGATTGCGGAGACGGAGTATGCAAAGGATTTAAATGTAAATGCCTAAAAATGTATAACGGTGGACGCTTGTTCTACAAAAGGGGCACCGGTGCGGTGAACTTGGAACCGGGTCTCTCGGCAATTTTTGAATGCAACTACATGTGCTCGTGCAATCTAAATTGCTCAAATCGGGTAACCCAACGCGGAAGAAAGGTGCGATTGGCCATTAAGAGGTTTCCGGAGAAGGGTTGGGGAGTGGTCGCTCTTGAAAGGATCGAAAACGGCACCTTTATCACGTACTATTATGGTGAAGTGATCACCTCCGTAGAGGCGGAGATACGCGGAAAAAAGTACGACGAGTTAGGAAACACGTACTTATTCGACATCGACTTTTTTGACGAGTCGGAGGAAACGAAAAATTCCGATCATTATTACACGGTGGACGCTCGCCGATTCGGGAACTTGTCACACTTCTTCAATCATTCGTGCGATCCCAATCTAGTCGTGTATCCAGTGATGACAAATACGTCAAATTTAAAGCAACATCACATTGGCTTCTTCGCAAAGAGATCGATCGAATGCAACGAAGAACTGACGTTCGACTACGTTGGGTCGGTGAGCAGGGATGATGAGGACAAAGAGAACGATGTCAGTATGGAGGATTGTTGTGTGGTTCCCGAGGTAAAATATGTGTGCAAATGTAAGGCTTCTAATTGCAGAGGATACTTTCACTAGAACGAACGAGAGATATTTACACCGAGGTTGCGCGAATGGTGCGATGGGCATGAGAAGTTCGAGGATAATAATACTACCTTTATGTCAAAAACTCACTTATATGTCTGCATAATTTCTTCTCTTACGCACATTGTAACGATTCTCTTAATAATATGCAGGAGGTTTAATGTCTGAAAGAGTTCGTAACTTTTTATCAAACGTAAATATCCACCTAATTAATCACAATTTTAATCAGAGAAATGAATCACCGAAAAAAAATCTTCGGCGTTTGAATAATTCGACGAAAATAGCGCAAAAAACTCTACGTTTTGCCCTGAAGCATCAATAATAAAAGTCGGGCACTAAACCGAGCATGAATAATATAATTTTTGATCCTTACACGATTCGCAAATATGCGTATGTGAAAAAAGAAAAAAGTCGTTTTCCAGGTTACCGATCATAAATGCCTACCTAAGCTTCAGAGTCTATCATTCGATTGACGCTTTCTTAATTTAGAGATAAAAAGGGTGAAGCTGCTTTCTGATCACCGCTTGACGCATAACAGATTTCTTTACCGATTACCTCACTTTTCCCGACCCTCTCAAACGATGAAACAAAGCCATGAAAAAAGAAAGCATGCGTATAAACTTCCACAGGTTTTTAAATTCGAAGATTTATTACGAAATCGTCAAAGACAACAGACAGAAATTTGTCGTCAAAGACGTGAAGAAATGGTATCAGCTCGTCGTAATCTCGAGAAGGTCAATTGCATCGACTCCGAGGATGAAGCCAATTACGAATCCCTTCTTTCATTTGACGAAATGGTTCACGACATATTATCGGATTCTATCCACAGCCAATCGAGGCCTCTTGCGAAATTTCGGAAATTGCTCGCCGCCAAAAACCTGTCTGCCCAACAGGTGGTCGATCTTGGTGTGGTTCCTCGGTTTGTCGAACTCTTATCTTCCGAACACGAATTCGTCCAATGCGAAACATGTCGGATACTGACCCACATCTTATCGAGTGCTGAGAGACAACATGTGCAAGTGGTGGCAGACGCGGGGGCGATTCCTCCGTTGGTTGCGTTGCTGAGCAAAAACGATTCCAGCACTATAGAACACGCAGTTTGTGCGTTGGTTAGTATTGCCGGTGAAAATAATTCTTTCCGATACCTCGTTTTAAGTGCTGGCGCCGTTGACTCCTTACTAAGTATCTTCTGTGAAATGCAAGAAAATGATTCTTTATTTCGTACACTGGTCTGGGCTCTTGCGACCCTTTGTTCCGGCGAAATAGTGTCGGAGAAAGACTGGCGCTTGATCGCACCAGCACTTCCCACCCTGTCGAGTTTACTAAATTCGGTGGACGAAATAGTTGTCGAACAAGTTTGTTGGACCCTGGGATCCTTGGCTGAAGGGGGTGTTCAGCAGATTCAAAGAATCATTGAACTGGGAGTTTGTCCCAACCTGGTACGACTGATGGGCCATCCGTCGAGAGAGATCAAGATCGCGGCAATACGATGTGTCACCAACATGATTACCGGCGATGACTTTCAAACGCAAGTGATCATCAATTGCGGAGCTCTTCAAGCCCTGCGTGGCTTACTTTCAAGCGAGAAGGATGCCTACATTCGAAGGGAGGCATGCTTGCAACTTTCAAATATCACCGCAGGCACCGTGGAACAAGTTGGGGCGGTTTTCGAGGCCGGGATTTTTCCGATACTAATAAATCTCATGACGATCGCTGATTTTGGTACACGAAAAGAGGCGTGCTGGGCAGTATCTTATGCCATCATTCAAGGTTGCGGTCGTTCAGAACTGATTCCCAAGATGGTTCGATTGGGATGCGTGGAGCCGATGGTGGAAATGTTGGGCTTCAAGGATAATGATCTGATACACTTGGTGTTGAGCGCGATTAAGATAATTCTTCATCTCAACGTGAATCATGCAAGAGGGAATAAGGTGGCACTACACATCGAGGAGATTGGTGCTTTTGCAAAGATATACAATCTCCAGTTTCACGATAATAACGAGATTCGCGAGATTGCCACACACATTGTCGAAAGATATTTCGAGTCGGATGACGAAGACGGCTTGGATCTCTCGATGACCGACTCTTTTTGAGAACAATCTGCAGATAGAATAAATTGTAGTGATTCATCAGTGTATAAAGTGTAATTTTTAATATTTTGGTAATAGACCACCGCTTGAATTTTTAATAAAGGAATTAATTTATACAGTAGTACATGGCAATTAATGAAATGAAACTTAATGCAAACAAGACTCCTCATTTCGTGGATTTTTTTTTTTTTTTTTTTTTTTTTTTTTAAAAAAAAGGATGCAGGGATGTGAAATTAAAAGATTCTCAAGGCTGAGATATACAGTATATACAGTACATCGATGAATTCATTAACAAATCGCTCGTTGCAATTGAGATCCCGTCCGAGAAATTTAATGATCCGGCGAAAAATTACATTTGTCATTAGAATAATCATCATAATTTTTTCATTCTAATCTATATATATCTATCACTCTTTTTTTTTTTTTTTTCTTCAAAAAAAAAAAAAAGAAAAAAGGGGGGAGAAGGAAGAAGGTAAAATGATACAAAACAAAAGACCCCCCTTAACAGCAATCACCGTTATCACCCAGCTGGAAAAGATATGAGGCCGTCGAATCCAGACAATTTTTCAAACTGCATCCGATGGTGATGGAGGGGTAAAAAATAATCTTGCACACCGACTCCCACAACCACTCCAATCCCAAGTAGATATACAAGCTGAATCCGTACAGATAAACCCCCATCACAAACAAGATCAGCGGAATCAACATCAACACCCGCAAGAAGAACAACATCACCACCGAAAAAACTATGTTCACGGTAATTTTCAGGTTCCTCTTTTTGCCATCCTTTGTCCAGGTTGAAGCTAACTGTTTAAATTGGGTGAATGCTTTGTCAAATGGAGGTTCAATGAAGAAGTAGATTAGCGTGACGGGAATTGCACAAAAACCAAGGCAAAATCCAATCATAATGCCAACTGTTAATTTGTGGTAGAAGAAATCGATGAATTCCTTGATCTTGTTGGGTATGGTGGTCGAGTAGAGGTGGGAGATCTCTTTGTCCAAGACGAGGGCATCCTGAATTGGACGCAAGATCGGCGAATCGACGAGCTCCTCTTTGATCGAATTGCCCATGCAGAATTGATAAAGGAGGAATGCTATCGACATAAGTGCGGACTCCTCGTGGTATGGATACTCAGGTCGCTTTATCTGGACAATGATGGGCAGTATGAGGGTTATGAAGAGGCTCTCCACGAGACATGCCTGTATACTTGCTGGTAATATTATTCCCATGTAGAAAAGAATAAGCAACGGTGAAAGCATGACGGTTGCAAATTTGAAAGGTCGTGAATATGTGTTGTTTGATATTATTTCAGAATAGATATCACGTATCGAAGGAATGAACCAAATTGCATAATTGTAAAAATTTGAAATAATGCACGACGTTAATATAGGGATGAAATATATGTTAAATTCGAATAGAATGAGACTTGCTCTAAATAATACAGACATGATGATTAGCGTTTTTTTTTTTTTTTTTTTTTTTTCTTTTCTTTTCTTTTCTTTTTTTTTTTCTAGAAAAAGAATTCGATTTGAAAAAAAGCAAAAAAGAAAAAAAAGAAAAAGAAAAAACAAACAGGATAACGTATGTGAATATTAAATTACGGCCAACGAAGGAGGGTCAGGAAAGATTTTCTTTTGACGGAAAATAAGAAATTGAGATCACCCAATCGTTATTCCTTTAATGTCGCCAAGTGAAAGTTGCCTGCTCATTCCTTGCTTTAAAAGTAAATTTGCGAAACACCCTAGAGGCCGTGTGTCACATAACAACCATCTATTGACATATGATCAGATCGATAAGCATATAGATAATGAGATATGAACACATTACATAACCTGTATTAGGAATCCAATTATAGGCAATAAATAATTGCACGCGTATACTTGATTGTTTTGCCAAATATATTACATCTGAAGTCTTATTCTCGTCGCATTTCTATATTAAAAATATATATATATACGTACATGAACTACGTCAAAACTAAACTACAGAGGTAAAATTAGTAAAGAAGTCATAAGAAGCATCGACTTTAAATGAATGGCACGAGCTTATTCATAATCCGTCCCTAATTATCAGAAAAAAATAGGTGAGCAATATTTCCCAATTAATAGGTTAAGCCAATCGGAGATGCTAACAAAATTTCCCCATATTGACAGTAGATCACCCCCCGTATTCATCTCGGGCCAAGGATAAATGACCCCTGATGATCTACAAGACAAAACACGATACGTAAGACCTTACTAGAAAAAATATGCTAGGAAAAATCTTCTAATTGGAACTGAAGAAATCCAATATCCCAAAATAATTTGCGAAGATACGGACCTCCTCACATTAGGGTTCAAGGAAATCTTCCTATTGTTGGAAATGATATGATACAAACGTTTCTTTTTTTAATTATAAAGGAGAAGGAAATTTAAAGGTTATCTGTTATATATACTGTAAAGTATACATGTTTACGCGTTAGCTCCAGATTATCAATTACTTAATTGGACTTTAATAGATAATTACTATAACACTATTTTATAATATATTTTTTTATCATTACTGTGAACAATTGTATACGTAGCATGATACATACAATATTATCATTTCGTGTCATTCTAATATTCAAGTTATATAGACCAAATAATACGACCCGCTGAATAATTTCGTTCATGATATATTGCAAAGAAAAAAAAGACCCCTCCCTTGCATCAATTGTTGCCCCGATTAACCAAGTTACGCGATTCATTTTGTTACTTCGTGAATTGCTTCGGCCAAGTATTTGACATTAGAAGAGGAAATGCCGGCAATTGAAATGCGACCGTCCCGTGTAAGGTAAACGTGGAAATCTTTAACAAGGCGTTCAACCTTTTAGGGAAAAGCAAAAAAAAGAACGTTAGCAAACAAGCGTCATGCAAGCCAAGGCCCAAACGATCTCGGATCCCTCACCTGATCCGGACTCAGACCGGTATAACAAAACATCCCAATCTGATTTGTTATGTGATCCCAAGGACGTCTGGACTCAAAATCTTCCACCAGGTGGTGCTTTAGCTTCTGGCGCATTGTAATTATGCGATTTGCCATCAATTTGACCTCATCAAGCCTACGTCGGCAAAAAAAAAAAAAAAAAAATCATTTGTCAACTCTTTCAAAAGAGACAAGATGACGCCGCTGCTGCAATCAGAACCTACCATTCTTTCTTCAATTCAGGATCGGAAAGTACATAACTTACAATTCGAGCTCCATTGAGCGGGGGATTAGAGTACATCGGTCGAATGATCAACTTAAGTTGCGATTCTATTGCAGCCTTTTCTTTCAAGCTCTCGGAGATTATCGAGAATGCACCAACACGCTCTCCATATAGTCCCATATTCTTGGCAAATGACTGTGTTAACGCTATTCTGTGTCCGTCGGCGACGAATTTTCTAATAGCATAAGCATCGCGGTCTGTGTCACCTGACGCGAATCCCTGGTAAGCTGAGTCGAAAAGTGGAAAATGGCCACATTTCTAAGATGGGATGTGTGAAATTAGTTAGACTCTTTCTTTGCAGGGGAGCTTCGCTTGATCCGATATAAATGAAAGGAGATCATACTTTAATGACTTTGGAAATTTCGTCCCATTGTTCAGGCGTGGGGTCTACGCCGGTCGGATTATGGGCACATGCGTGTAGCATAATGATGGAATTACTGGGCGCTTTCTATCCGGTCAAAATTCAATGTCAACAATTGTTTGCAAAAGTTAAAGTAGCAATGAGAATGACGATGATTATTGGTTCACCTTGATGTCTTCTATGAAACCTTCAAAATCCAATCCCTTTGTTGACTTATTAAAATATCTGTATTGAGCAGTTTCGAGTCCCGAATCTTTAAATATGGCATTGTGATTACCCCATGTTGGAGTCGGCAAGTAGATTCTCTTATCGTATGGATAAAATCTATTCAGCAATACGCCGGCAATCCGAAGCCCACCTGTACCCGAGATCGTCTGAGTGATTGCGATCTAAGAAAAGGCCGAATTTTGAAAATTAGGATCAGAAATTTCACCATCTCAAGTGACCACGCAACCTCACCTTTCCCTCCTTCAATGGCTCGGAATCAGCACCATAGGCTAAAATAGCGGCCTCATTGGTGAAAGATGGGAGACCGGTGATGGGAAGATATTCCTTGTTGAGCTTGTCTTCAGAAATTTTTTTTTCCGCCTAGGTATTACACCAAAAATTGGGTCAGACCACCATTACCTCGGCCGGCGTTCCCGCGGAATCGGAAAACAATAAGAATCATAAGTATATATATATTCATCACCTTTCGAACGACATTCAACACGTAAGGCTTTCCACTGTCATCGCGATAAGCGCCAACACCCAAATTCATTTTCATCCGGTGAACATCCTTTTTGAAGGCTTCGGTAACACCAAGGATGGCATCGGGAGGACCTTTTGAATTCAAAAATTTTAATGCACGCAGTTTTAGAAAGGAAGATGAAGAAAAAAATCGAGAATTACGAAAAAATTATCGATTCTGCATTTTTGCACGAAATTCTTAGTTCCTAAAGACACAATGTTCCAACAAGTGGAGGGAGTACCTTGAGGGACATGTGACCAGCTAGAGATAGAGGCGACATTTGAGGTTGAGATGGAGGCGAGGACCCTTGGGCGAACAACTCCACTGCCGAACAAATTTGCGTTGCGTGAGAGGAGAGAGGATAGCACTTTTCAGAGGGATAAAGCTATTCAGAGATAACCTCACAGATAATCAGATAATAATAAAATAGTTTCCAAATAGGGATTTGATTTACAATGCATTGGGCAGAAGTACAGTACGTTACTCTTCAAGGCGACAAAAAACTTTTCCCGTCAATTAAAATAGCATTTGTCATGAGTGAAACGCAATTTGTTGTTCCTCCATCTTGTCATCCAATGACCATTTCATTTTTCCGACACTAAATGCCGAAGATTTCTTTGATCACAACCCAACTCATCTTAATTATATATCACACAACAACATTACGCAATGAATGTGCACAGTACACAGTAAACAATCGATCAAGCACTGAGACACATGACGTATGTGGCGCTTTTCTTAGCTTTGTCACGCAGTAAATTGGTTGTTGTACGCTAACTGCGTACGCTAACGATAACATATTTGGTCATGACGTATGCAAATTCGATTTGCAGGTTAGACTTTTGACCGTCTTATGTACTGTATGTATATAAGGGAACAATAAATGAGCTCACGGTGAAGAACAGAATTGGGAATCCGAACAAAATAAAAAGTCAAATTCAAAGAGGTATTGATTATTGATGCCAAGATCGTGATCACGTGTTTTCCCTATAAAGAGCAACACCATAATTGGGATATGGATATTCATGATATTACCGTACATTACATTTCATACTGTATGCGCTTTTTACTTATTGAATGGATATAAAATGGTGAATTTTCCCTTCACTAAACACTGGTCTTTACATTTTTGAAGCTGATATCATTTTCAAACGTGAGAAAAATCAACTTCCAAGAGTCAAGTAAAAGCAACTCAACTCGGACTTCAACCATGGAACACACACACGCCATCATCCGACAACATCAAAGCATAAAAGCACTCTTATATTTTTCCGTAATGTCGGTGTTCGTGCGTGCTTACCTGGTGAACACAGAATCCATCTCCGCCTCTCCAAACGGCGCCGCCGGAAGCAACAACTTGTCGAAGAATCGTCGGACAATCGAAATGTTGGGTATAATGTTGGCTAGCACCGCAATGTTTAATAAATGATCGCATCATTCACGGATTGAACGAACTACGAACTATTGCAAAGGAATTTGGGGGGGTTCATATTCAAATTAAACACACACACACATATACAGTATATATATATTATATTGCGCACGAATTCTATTTATATGTTGCATGTAAATACACTTTTTTTAAAAAAAAAATACCCAGAGAAATAATTTATTATTAAATAAAAAATACATTCAATTCTAACATGTGATACGTGGTGCGTCATCTTTGCATTTACCCATCCGCCATTTTTCCTTCCGTCTCGTTGACGTTCCTGTTGGACACACTACCAACAATGAAGATCACCAACAACAACCCTATCCACGCGTAAAAAAGGCCGAACCAAACGCTCTTCATTTCCCATAAAAAGATGCCAAGTAGAACGTCCACGAGTGCAAGAATTGCGACGATATAACCTATCCAGCTTATTACGAAAAAGTTCCGGTTGGAGTCCTGTTGAAACGTGATTACCGGAAAAAAACGCGGAAAAATTCTTACCTATGAAAAACTGGTTTGCGAAATTTATGATGGATAACCCCGAGGATGACTTCGATAACCATTAGAAAGAATACGACGTGCCCGACGGCCTGTGTATTTGTGATGAATTAATTGAATTAATGCATTTTTCATGCCATTGCCTCATTAACACACAAAGAAAACGTACCGAATGTGGTGTCTCTGACCAATTGTGATGCGTCTTATTCATAAAATGAGCTATCGCAAATCCAATGGTCATGAATATTGTGGAAAAGAAAAATTGTAACGACCAATGTAAATGAAACCACGTTTGGGGGAAAGCCCTACGACCGAAACGTGCGATGAAGGTGCCGAGAGGAATCGTAATGAGGCTAGAAACCGCGGTGAAAACAACTGTATCGTCGAGAAGGGGGTTATCATTAATCGAGAAAAAACCTTCTTCGTCTTTTTACTCACCATGTACAATTAACATCTTGTCATTCTTAGAAAGACCGGTAGGAGTCGTCGAATTTGTGAGATCAGTTGAATTCATGTTTGACTAATGGGTTGGTTGTTAAGTAAATCAAGAAGATTGAATGTAGAATCAACGCCCCTTTTATATTCGAAAATTGTTTCCAAGTCTCTAGTGATTTCGCATTTGTAGAAGCACAAAGAACGAGATAGGCAATTTCATAATAGTGTGCATCAAAGAATGAATGGTCGATTCTATTTAACGTACCCATCTTGCTTTCCAAAAGGTAATTATCTCTTTTGGTTCGCTGAAGTTCGAACCATCGCAATCTATTTTAAGCTTGACCACTCCATTATGTTATTACCATTTATCGTGCATTGCAATCATTCGGAGTTAACCCTTGCTAAAAAAACATTGTCTGCAACCAAGATTTCAACCTCAAAGCCCGCATTATTTTTACAAAAAAAAAAAAAAGACAGATAATAGAAATTTCGACATGTTGTATCACCTTTCGCAGCGATAGGGACGACGCGCATACAAAAATAGAAATTCATATGATTTACTAAATTACACAAATATGTAGAAATTAATTCGGATCGTCTGATTTCCGAGGCAATGTCTGTTATTCGGCAAACCTATCCAGACCGGAGATCCATATGCCACGAACGACAACTTAAGTAAAACCCGCCCCCCAAAAAAGATTGCAATCAAGACTCTCTTGATTATACATACAGTAAATATATACAGTATATATATATATTTTTGAAATAATTATAAAGATGCAAATACTCTCTATTGAAAAATTATTGATCAAGTTATACTTTGTTTTTTCTTATTTTTAATTATTTTTGAATAATTCTTGTCACATAGATTAACATGTCTAAAGTAATGAATTTGTATAATTAGATATATAAAAATTAATATACCGTAAATTATTATTTAGAAATACAGTATATAAAAAAAACTCTTTCCGCTGATCCTGTTCGCAAAAAAGTTTTATGCTTTTCTGCTAATAAAGTCTTATCACTTTCCCTAAAACAACTTGAAAGATAAAGTAAAATTATTATATATAGTAAAATCTATAGATTATTTTTAAAAAAAAATTATTAAATTAATATATTAAAAAGAAAAAAAAATTAATTTAAAGCCTCTTTAAAAAGCTTTTATTCGAGTAACCAGTTTTTCTTAAAAAATCCATTTAATCAAAATATTTTTTAATTTTAAACTATTTTAAAAAACTTATTTATTAATTGCTAGGGCTATATATTATCTAAAAAACTTATTATTTAAGTTTTAGAAATAAAAATATTTTATTTTACTGTATTTTATATTTTTTATCTATAAAACTTTAACTTATAGTTTAATTAAAATAATAATATCAATAATATTTTAATTTTATTTTTTAACCAAGTAAAAAAACTCTTTCTGCTGACCCCCATTTTTTTCAAAAAATTTCCTTTTTTAATATTTTTAAAAAAAGAAAAGTCAACCCCCCAAAAAGAAAAAACTAATATATTTTTTTTTTTAAATATTAGCTCATTTCTGCATCAGTTTGTATGCTTTATTAAAATCAAGATATGTCTTAAGGACAACTGAAATAACTAATTACCCTTACTGTCTAAGAATTTACAGATCAACAAATAGTATAAAGAGGCATCTATTTATGTCTCATCCAATCAGGATGGGATGACTATTGACCGTCTAATGTAGAACTTTCTCTAAACTCTAACTAAGCTATAGAAAATAGGAAATCTTTTCCATTGAAATGAAACCAACCATTAAACCTATCTCTAAAACTTCTGTTTCCTAGGGTTTTATCTACTGGATGACCTGTTGCTATCACTACTAGAGGAAACTAATGTACCAAGAACTTGCCTAAGATGTCCAACACCACTGGTATTAGGAGTCCCTTATACGAGGAGACCTCATTAATACTTGAAAAAAAAAATTTTTTATTCTGTCTTGTATTTCGACCTGTCTTGTTGATTTGGTTAGGGTTTGATCTTGTGTAAAGAATGTTGTACTACTTGATTTTTACCTATCTGTAATCTGTTTTATATTTTTAGCATTGTATCAAGTTAAGATCTGTCTTTATCAGTAAATGTGAGTAAGCTAATCCTTTTTTTATATCCTGACTGGACAATCAATCTATAGTAGATATACTCTTTCTTGTATTCAATTATGTAATGATTGTGTCCTGTATCCACTCACAATAATATATATGATTTACAGTGAATTCCAGGTTCTTATAGAGCTGTAAAAATACATTCAGATATGTGAGGTGATCAATAGGAGCTTGTTTATTAATCTTATCTGATGTATTTCATAACAACCAATCAAAATAGGCAGGGTTTGTGCTACCTTAAAATTTAGGATCAAGCTGGGGTAGGCAAAATTCCACAAAAAACCATAAAGTGTGAACTTTTAGAGATCGGAAAGCTGAGTCAAGAGGAAGATATGAGTCTTTTGATTGAGGTAAAACTTTTATTTTGTCTTGTTTCTTTGCTTCAGAAGAGTGGCGACAGGTACTACACTGATAGTTCTTATTTCTTTAGGAACTTTTTTGCTTTTGATAGTAAAGATGTGAGCTGAACTTTATAGGCCACAAGAGTTCTGTTTGCTTGAAAATAATTGTAAACAAGAAAGGAAGAGTATGAGTGACTCCTGAGGATTCTTTTCAGGTTGAATTAAGGAGAGTGTTTAGACTTTATTAGCAAAGAAGTATTAAAAACTTCTTGCAAACATCTTTTTTGTGTGTGGTCAGAGAATCAATGGAAAGAGTTTTCTAGAAAACCAATATCAAAGACTATTTACTTATAAGAAATACTATAGAAATACTATAGAAACAACTAACTACAATATAGGAATAGATAAGTACTTAAAAACTTCTAACCTTTCTATAAAAAAAATTTTTTTTTAGAAAGAATAAACAAAAATAAAAACTGAATCATACTAAGCTCCTGAAAGCTCAATATCAACCCTACAAAGCTTTCAACCAGATCATTGCAAATCAATACCTTTTTGGACACTAAGAAGAACCTTACAAGCAATAATTTAGATCAATAAATCAGTTTAAACTCAAATATCTATAAAATTCAAAGAAATATTCAAGCTTCATTGATTATATAATAAAGAAACATATATATTACAACAAACAAAAATTTCAATAAACATAGTATCACATGAATATATATATATATATATTCTCAAGAAAAACAAGATTAAAAAGACATGTTTATATAAACAAAGTTTACAGATTATCTATATATTTATAGTAAATAAATCAATAGCACTCCATATTTTCATGTGCCTATAACAAGTTAATCAATAATAGCAATATTATTATTACAACAAAACATGAAATATAACCTAATATCATAATACAACAACTTTAAGATTTTTCTATATTATCAAATTAGTAGCAAGGAATAAACAAACCTTTACCATATGTTAGAAACAACAAAATACAAGTAAAATCTATTAATTTGTGATATAAAACAAACACAATAATACTAACAATATAAAGATTACTATAGATTACAAAAAATATGAAATTCATATTTTAAAAATCCTAATCAACTTATTAAACATATATAATTAAGAGAAAAAATTATAAATAATACAAACAATTCTCAATACAATTTCTATACAAGAAAACAACCCCAATCCAGCTTTCAATTCTGCAAGATGCTTAATTCTAGATAGAATTATAGCTAAAATCTTCAATATTAATCATACCATTTTTACTAAAGCTACAATCTTAAAATAACATATTCTATATGTATGGGTTTAAGAACAAGGAAAAAAAAATGATTTACTGGCCCTCTTCTTGAAAGACAAATATATATTACTGATAGAATAAGAGAAAAAAAACATATTAACAACAACAAATAAAGTAAGAAAACACAGTTATAAATAACTTATATTCAAGTTTAACAAAATCATCAAATGAAAAAGTGGTTATTGAAATTCAATCAACATATACAATAGAAGTTTTTAACAATGTTGAAATAGAAATAGATAATAAAAAGATTGAGACGTAATTGGAAATAGAGGAAATTCAAGAAGAAGTAAAAGATGATAATATCACACTAGTCAAAATTATGTCATTCAGCAATTGAATTATTGCTGAATTTGATTAAGTTTAATAATAAAAGTATTGTCAAATTCTTTTTAATTACTGCCACTTGGTATATTACTATTTCAATAATAAAGTAGCAATCAAAAATTCAGCAACCAAAAATTTGACAATCAAAAATTTGACAATCAAAAATTTATTAACAATTCATCAAATAATTCAATAACTATTTACAAAAATTTATTGAAAGTTTGACACAAAATTATTTATTAACAATTCAATAAAAATTTAACATTAATTTATTAATAATTCATCAAAATTCATTAATTATTTATTAAAAATTTGACAATTATTCATC